CCGGAAACTAACTACTAGCGAGTAACTAAGAGTTGGGATCGGAATCCTGACGTCGCAGTAAGACGGTAACAGAAGTAACCGGGACAGATCATGTGACACAGCTCTCCAATTATGGCAGCTGGTTTGCTCAATTAGATAAGGTATTTCTCGTAGAATAGGACTGAAATGGTCATGATCATGCCAAATACATCGGATACTTGAATTCTTATGGTCAAACAGGGCCAGGGGAAGACATCATCTGAAGTAAAAGAGGAAAGGCTATCAGAAGGGATAGTCTACGTCTGCGATGTGGTAAGAGACGTCTGGATTCGAAACTGTTGGCGTAGATTTTGGCAATTTAGCCTTCGGAAGCTGGGTCGTCGCCGCTATATCGCAGATGCGCGTTTCAACTGCCGCCGTTCTGCTCCAACAGGCTACTGTGACGTTTGAGAGTTATTGGTCGGTTATTTCATTGTCAACAAACTCAATCGAGTCTCGTAATAATGAGTAGGGTAGCCTACTAGCGCACACTGCTGGTGCAACAAATTGAACCACATGAGACATGCATATGCAGTAGTTACACTTACCAGGCGAAATAGACCAATCTGAAACAGCATCCCCAAAATAATGATAGTTTTGGAGGATGTATATATAGTAGTCCGCGGCGACATTGCATCTAAAAATCACCACGTTGAAAAATGCGCTTTAACAGCCTTCTCCAGCTCTTTCTGTTTTTCTATTCTATCCACACTGTTTTCGCTGTTCAGCCAGGAGTACCACCTCTATCCGTCGGAGCCATTACTATTCCTGAATTACTAGCTTGTAAAGGTGATTTAGAGCGCATACAAGAGACGATGTAGGTCTACAGCAATATCTTCTTGCCACATTCCACTGATGCAGGCACTGGTTGAAACCGACAAAGAGCAAGACACCCCAGATATGACTGGGATGCTACATATACTTTCGCGCGCGAGGAATGGGCAAGAATGGTGGACACCTTTAATCCGTCGATTGAACTTGGTCCAGGGTAGGTGTCTGAATTGTCACATATGCGATGCTTTGCATTCACTCAGATACTGACTTTTCTCAAATTCAGGGAAGAAGAACTGCAAGCTTATCCAGATCCTCCGATTCCCGACCACAGGGTGCTTGACGATTTGCTGTATTACATGAGGTTCTTGCCAAACAATGAATGGAGACCGGAATATAGAGTCTGGACGAGGAGTCATAGGGAGCTTATGGATGTCTTCGAGTTACAAAGAAAAAAGGCTCTACGCGAGGATTCGATTTGGAATTATAGAAACTGGTTCAAGAACAAGTCGTGATCTTGCATATAAACCATATTTGTACCTTGCATTGAACAATGCACCATCACTTGGATGGCAAACAAGACCCTTAATTCTTGTGCGCGAGTCCTTGTCACAACATGACTAAAGAATGGATCGAACTAGTACAAGATGACGTCTTGAGTGATCTGTTGTGCTTCCGTTGGGCTGATAGAACGAAGGACTATGAGCAAGGTTCATAACATTAGTGAAACAGAAGCCATAGTAGGAGGTGGGGTACTCATTTGTCTCGGCGGCGCAGCATTTAGAATAAAATAAAGGATTCCTTTACATCGTGTCTCCAAATCCTTGCAGATACCATAAAATAGTCAGTCGATCGAAAAAGAATCTGGAGGAGAGGTGGATCGAACACCTGACTTCTTCGAGCTTCAATTCGGAGAAATGATCACCGATTGCAAACGAAGCACGCTACCACTGCGTTACACCCCCGCGAAAGTCAGAGGCTTCCTGTTTCTTTGTAGGGACAAAGAGTGAGAACCAGCATGTGGCACAATTTCATACTGCAATGCAAGACTATAATGGAAACAATGTGACACAGATCTTTCTCTTGAAATGCATCTTGAAAGTGCTTAGTTACACAAAGTGATAATGCAAAAGTATGTTTGACTGGAAATATTCATTCCTGATACATGTACTAAATGGCAGAGGAGAAATAGCATGAGCGATCATGAAGAAATATCATTAGCAGTACATACCTCGACTTCGTCAATGCCTTTGCCACCTTCTCCAGCGGCAAAAGGTTGTGACCTGCCCGTCGGCATTGGTCCCATTTCTGGCTCATCATACTCTTCTTCATCTAAGGCGCTTCCATCGTCTAGTCCGAATGGGATCACTGGCCGTAATCCAGCACCTCCAGATGACCTTCTTCTTCCAGTTGACGGTGATTTTGGTAGCCGCTTGAACGTCTTTGGACTCATATGCTGCGTGGTGCCATATGTTGGTTGAGAACTGCACATAACAAATTGAAGCTCACCTCCCAGTTGTTCAAATTTTCGTCAATGCTACCGGAATCAGAGTCAGAATCATCTGAAACTGATCCATCCCCTCCCCTAGCGTCACCCAAGTCTCCGATCGATACCACACTCTCGCTATCGCTGATCGCATCCGTAATGTCCGTCGGGAAGGTAGCAAGCCTATGCCACGCGGATGGTCCAACGGTCCCGCCCATTCCGCTACCGATGGCATTAGACGATTCTCCCGGGAGACCGAATCCGAGTGGATCAAGGTGATGTTCCGGCGCCCCTTCGCCAAGATCGGAAAGGTAATCTAGGTTTCAAGCAAACCCATGAGTTTCGTTCGGATGTTTCATGTTTCATCTACCTTCGTATTCACCTTCGTATTCTGCTTCAAAGGCGATATCCTCCCCAGTATACGGCAAGAATGTTGACTGGTCAGCTGTACGAGACTTCAATGGAGGGAACACATCGGCATCCAATTTAGGTGACGGGCCGGCTCGATTCAGGTTGAATGCATCCCCTCCTCCGAGTTCGTGAAGCATGGGTATAGATTGGCTTGATGCCCTTCTGTGAGAAGGGTTCAGGGCGGCAGTCTGTATTGATGCGCCATATCGCTTGGAGTTATCTGCAGTTCAAACGATGAATTGACGAACGATGATGATTTGAATAAGACACGTACAGAACTTGACGAGGGTACGTAAAGCTTGTTCTTGGGCCTACACAAGCATTAACTTTCAGTATATATTTGTCTACTGTCAAATTAGTGACATACCATCGCATCTGAAACATCCTCAACTTCTGTTCCCGTTAGCCATTCGTCGCGTAGGTCAGGACGGCAGTTCAGGTATATGGACGTGATAACCTTCATGTTGGCTATTATGTCTTCAAAGGTCAGATCCATCATAATCCTGAAATTTGCTGAACTAACGAACTTTGCCTCCACTTCCGACCGCAGAATGGAACTTGACTCTTGATGAGCTTTAGAACGTGTAGCTGAAGCATTGGATGTGAAACTTTCAATATCCGCTTCAAGATAGCCTAGTGATTTAAGTTAGTGAATCATCGCGAAATATATTGTTAAGCTGCTCACTGAGCTTTTGTATTGGACCAAGAGCCATATCCTGTGTGAACGCTGCTTCGACAACTTTTGCATCACTTTCACGAAATTGATACTAGCAAAGAAATTCCTCCACGAGTAATCGGTTATCAACTCCACGTCGTCTTCTTGTAATCCATTTTCTTCAGCCCCTGGATTAGTCCCAGGAACAGGTCCAGGTCCAGAGCTACCTCCAATTCCAGACAACATGCTAAAGCTGAAACCAGACGAAGTTGCAGACGCAGACGGTCGAGAACCCTTGGGTTTGCTGAGCATATAATCTTCAGGTCGCAATTGGTGGGCATTCTTGGAGAAGTTGAGATAACAATATCGGAAGAAGCTGTTCATTCAAAATGATCAGCTCAGATTCTATAAGCTATCATCACTGAATCTCTCACTTCGAATCTGGAACGTCGTTTTTTGTTACTACGGTGTTGGGAACCTCTTGCAAACCAAACATTTTCAAAATGAGCAACAAGCAATTGGAGTCGAGTAACAGCTGGCCAAGATGGTGAAACTTCATAACGTCTGAACAGTAGAATGAGTCGGACTGAAGTAGGACATGGCACGAATCAATCAACTCACGAGAAACCTTGAACCACTTCAAGGTGAGGATGAGAATAGCGGATACCGCTTTGGAAGTTATTTCTCGATGCCTCATTACGTCAATCTCCTCAGGGGTCGGAGGAGGCTGTGGAGGAGGATCTGAGTAAGATGATGTCAGAAAACGAAATGGGAGGTAGTGTTATTAGGGAGCGTTACCTGTAGATGGGAATTGACTATTGTTGACGGACTGCCCCGTAGCTGGCGCTGCAGTAACCGTGGCCAACAACAACTTGAGCAACACTACCACCCAACTCGAGAGTTGTGGAAGCACCGCTCGCTAAGGGTCAAAGAGCATTTGGTGCCATTATTTAGCCGGTGACTATGTATCAAACTTACATATATCGTTTCAACTCTTCGTAACCTGATTAAATCGGCTTTCCTCTGAGCAGCCTTTTTCTTCTCTGACTTTGAGCCACGATCCTCAGCAATCTTCTCCATTTCCTCCGCCTCCTTGATAGCATTTTCCAGGAGGACAACATCTGGTAAAGCCATCTCTGGTTCTTCTTCATCCACCGCAGAAGTACTGATACCAGAAACACTTGCGTTCGACGCCATACCTCCCTCTTTACCGCCTCCATGTAAAATCGCGCTTGGCACCGAGACGATTGAGAATTTTTTGTCTAGAAGTGCACTTCCTCCAGGTCCTAGATCCGCCGAGTGACTTGGAGGTAGACTGTCAAGCCCACTCTCGTCTAAGATACAGTCTTCCCTGGTCCTCCACATCTGATAGAGCGCCAACGATATGTGCATGTGCTTCGCAAACAACTTATCCGCTTCATCAATGGCGAATGGAACAAGTCGTCTACTTCCGCGAATTCTGGAGAACGGGAATAAGAATGGTCTGGTTGGATCCGTTTGGAATTGTTGTTTCTTGGGTTTGGGCGATTGTGGAGGGGTGGGTGCAGGTGTCGCAGGTTGCATCCCGCCTTGACCCATGGGTTGATTGGGATTGTTTGGCGGCGGAAATCTCTTCGGTCCCATGGGATCTTCTTCATTTGCATGGTGGTAATGCGGACGGACGGGTATAGGTGCTAATGCAGCGGCGAGCTTATCGGCGGGGATATCTGGGGGAGGCCCAGGAGAGAAAGTTGGGTATTTGACACTAGTTTCTGCCCTAAACGTGCTGAATTCAATAGGAGATGACTTGAGAATAGCGGCTATAAGAAATGTCGTTGTGAGTCACTTGAACCAGCTTGGGAGTCAGTGAATATTACCAGAGTCACTGATAGACGGCAATCCAGAAAGTTCTCTGCCAAGCTTCTTGACTCTCTGCAGGTGGCGAATACCTCCCAAACAGCATAATAGCGATTTCCAAAAGAGCAGCAAAAGCTAAAAATTCACCGGAATGAGTTCGGGGGCGGCGAATTACGAGTATAAATAAGATAGATTACCTTCTTAACTGGATAACCTCTGGCACTCTTTTCCTTCAAAGCCGAAACCAACCCAAATAAATACACAGGTAGTGGCGGTTCCATGGACACTGTAAATTAGGTCAGTTGACTGATAACCAAACTGATGAGGACACCCTCACTCAATTCTTCGCCAAATTCCTCGTCCTCCCGAAAGATTTCGACAAGAAAGTAGAGCATTCCTAGGTACACCGAGACTTCGGTATTCACTTCTTCCAGAAGCTCTGCTTTTTCTTGGGCAGTTATATTGTACTGCATCGTGTCCATCTCTGATAGATTGCTGAACGAAATACGGGACCCTTCAGAACGGCTACATAGCAATTCCTAACAAACCATACCCACCTCAGCAAGTCTTGTTTTGCACTAGCAACCTTCAACGCCTCTACAACAGTGGAAGTACCATTTGCAGACCTTATTACCTTGCAATTTTCTATGATCCAGTGTAGTTGGTGTTCCGGAGATGTAGTCTCACTGAAAGTTCCTGTCAAGATGCAAAAGCGTTGGTTCACAGTAGGGTGCCTAAGGAGCTCATGACTTGGGAGCTCATGACTTGCCTTGGAGCACGTAGAGTAATCGCCTGGCGTTTATATAGCGCGTTTCGGTATCCTTGTGTTCTAGATTTTCTAAAAGAACTTCCACGTGGGCTTTTCTTTTAGAAATTGGGGCTTTGGTCCATTCTGAGTGATAATATTGAGGTAAGGCACAACGCGCTTCTGAATTGAAAGAGTCGTACCTCCTTCAAAACATCCCTGCCAAGAACGCAAGTTCTCTTCCACTTGTGCAACCTCTACGTATGAATAAAACTCTTCAATTTCATTAAAAACCGTATCTTCGTCATCATATCTGAAATCAAACACCGATTGCTAAGAGACACATTAGCTAAAACTCAAAGGGGATATTTCAAGCCAGACTGCCGTACCTTTGGCTTCGGGTTTGACGGCATAAGCGCCTTGAGCTGCCCCAACGTAATAGAGTCCGGTATATCCTTCTCCTCCGCTGCCTGAATCACGGATTTGGGGAATTCCATCATCATGGTGGATGGATGTATTAGTGACCCGGAATGGTTGAAGCTGTAAGGGTTCTCAACTTTGCAAACATCTCACTGTTTATCTATGCGGTAACACGTGCACGATTCAACACCTCCCAATCCCTTCAGAGCGCTGCAATTGCCGGATATGTGATTGACGCTTCAAACCCTTGCGTGGGTCTCTGAGCTTATCAGATTGATCTCGATATTCGCATCATATATGACAAACGCCAAGCTCAAACCCCTGATGCCCAATTGGCCTTGGTTGTGGCTTCAGCGTCTATAGTATAACCGAGCAGAAGTCTACTGGGAGGGCTTCCTATGTTATCTGAGCA